GGAACACATTCTCTCAGTATTTGGGGCCCCTCGTTTGACACTGGGTATACTCAGCCAGTGACTCTTGTCTCAGTTTTTGATTACTCACTATCCCCCTCCCCCCCCCCCCCCCCCCCCCAAAAAGAAATATTTTTTAAGAAATAAATGAGTGATGAAGCTCCAGCATTCCATATAAAAATTACTGTTGATATTCTGACAGTTTGGCACATGTCTTTGGTGATCCTTTTCTTGACGTGATTGTATTTCTCGGATTCTGATTAAATCTGCACAATGTTCCTGACACAACAATGACCAAAGTATACAGGTATAGCTGAGTACACCAAAGTTAACTCTAATCGGGTGTGTTCAGCAGAGACGCTGTGCTATCTTTTTCTTACTAGCCTCCTCTATTTAATTAGGAGGTAAATATCCTGTGTGCTCGCAGGCTATTTTTAAAGATTTTATGACTTTTGGACACACTCCATGTAATAAACTTTTATTATAGTCAGTACTACCATCTCTGCAGGACATTTAGGAATACTGTTTGAAGGGCAAACCATTTATGATTTCGATTTTCTACCATGTTATGTCACATTGTCTGCATTTGTCATTTGTCACAAGTTTATATATTTCAGAGTGTGTTAGTTAAATATATAAACAATGGGGGGTCAGGGCTGAAAATAAGTAAATGCAAAAAATAAAATTGAAGTCCAACCATGCTGTGAGGTGAATCACTAACAGTCCACTGGGGGTTCCTCTGTGTTTGGGCCTTGATGGGTGCTCCCAGTATATTACTCATCACTTTGGGTGTGATTTCTTTGCTCTGACTGTTTTTAACGGAGGTCGGTCTCTCACCCCCTCCCTCACAGCAGCACGTTGTCGGTTGTCATCAGTCTTATCGTGCATTATTGTGGTGGCCGGGAGGCGCCTACCAACATTATGTTTACAAAGCTTAAAATACATTAACATTTCAGTGGTTTTTGGTTAGTTTATCGACATTTTTCTTAATATAGGAGCTCAATAACATAAGAAAAAACATGTGTGTGTGTGTGTGTGTGTGTGTGTGTGTGTGTGTGTGTATGTGTGTATATATATATATATATATATATAGAGATTTTTTAAAATTTTATAGTGACTGAAGATGGACAGAAATTAAGTTGTTAAAACTCTGAAGACCTACAACACGAAAAACAAAAACCGTGCCACAAAACGGCAGGTTTTTCACGTCTTCTTAAGTTGTTTTTCAAAATTTTAATTTCTTTACCAAAATGTGATTTAAAAAAAGCCTTGTCTATAACTTTGTAAATGTGTTTTATCATTTGTAAAAGTGGTTTTATAATTTGGAAACGTTGGCTTGCTCCTCCCGGCCGCCGTCTATTAAGGACCAGAGGTGCGATACAGTGAAACGATCTCCAAAGATGACCGGGCTGTGTTCTCCCGCAGCACCACTGCCGGCGGTGCGGGCGCTGCTTCTGCGACAAATGCTGCAGCAAGAAGGTGGTCCTGCCCCGCATGTGTTTCGTGGACCCCGTCAGGCAGTGCGCCGAGTGCGGCCTGGTCTCCCAGAAAGAGGTGGAGTTCTACGACAAGCAGCTCAAAGTGCTCCTGGGAGGTGATGCGCTGCCCGTCCGATCTCACTTTGGGTTTAGCGTAAGCTCTCCGAGCTGGGTTGTTTGTCGGCATCTTTCACACGAGGGGTTTTTGCTGGGTTTGCTTCAAGTTTCGTAAAGCGAATTTTGTTTTTAAGCTTTATCCATATAAGATAAATAACAGGAAATTAATAAAACTTGTTTGCTCCTCTTTGAATTTCATGGAAGCTATACAGATTTTAAAAAAGAAGACCACAAGGAGGTAGAAGCATATTTTAACATCATTTCAGAAATCAGCTAAAAGTCTCGGCTACATATTGGGAAGCCGTTCCGAAAATAATCAGTGTAGAGCAAGCAATTTCTGCTAATGATTTTAGATGGGTGTGATCTTAGAGTTAGAGATAGACTTAAACTTAGACTTGACTTAATTTATCTGTTGGGAAATTCAAGTTTCATTAGCTTAACCTACGACCGAAGCAGCACACAGAGGGATAAAAAGAGAAAGATTTACAAATGTCAGTACAAAGTACAATATGAGCTCTAAAACTTTTATCGAAATATAGGATTAACAGAAAAATGGCAAAAAGAATAAAACTCCTAACAAGGCCCTGAGACCCCAGTGAATTCAAATCTGAAACGATTCCATCTTAGAAATCCCTGCAAAGACCTCGGTGCAGTTCACCAATTATAGGTAGCCGCGTTTCAACAAGGTTAAGGAAGGCTCCGTCTTCTCTGTTTTTAAAATGAGCGGAGTCACCCAGTTTGTAATCAACACTCCACTGATGATATGGTGACATATCTGTGCAGATTCTCAGTCATCCAGGTCATGGTCAAGCTGGGAAAGTTCAGTTTAGGCAACTGGACGTGAAGTTTCAGGGCCAGTGGGACTGGAAAGGCAGCATCTTTGCCATAAGGGACGTGTTTTAGAGTAAGGTGCTACCATCTAGGAGATGGTATTCTTCGAGAGCGCCATGCTTTTTTCAGAAAGACAATGCTAAACCACATACCACATACTGCATCTAACCACATGCTGATCTGAAAATGTGACAACAATCAGGCTTTGCAAGAGAGATCTGTAAGCCATTGATGGTGGGTCCTCGTGAGTTTTCAGAAGGAACTCGTTTACATTTGTTGGCACTCCGTAAGCCTCCTAATTCTCGTATGTTAATCAACATTACCGTTCGTTTAATCTGTCATCTGCTATGTTTCCAGGAGGCACTTTCGTCGTCACTTTGGGAACGTCGGAGAAGTCTGAAACCATGACCTGTCGCCTCTCCAACAACCACAGGCAAGTCGGCAAGACACCAGTATTTGGAACAAATTTGTTCACGAAGTCGCACAACTTTTTTCAACATTCCAGCCACTCACTGCTTGTTCTGCCTTAACAGACACACACTATGAACTTTTTTTTAATAAAGCGTTTGTGGTGTAGGGGTTGCCTACAAACCCCCTTACTTTTGTCTGTAAAATAGGCACCGTCCAGATAAAAGGTGCCATTCACTTTCTTTACCTTGACCTGGTTTTAATCCATACTAGTGCCTAGAAGAAAACAGTAGATGTTTTTAAAGTTTTAGCCAGGGAGTCACACGTCTTGATCGTGTGTGTGTGTATATAGATAGATAGATCCAACCAACCAACAGAAAGTGAGTGAAACAGTTTATTTATTTTTCATTGTTTTGTTTTCTTTACCTGGACTTCAGATATCTGTTCCTTGATGGTGAAAGTCACTTCGAGGTTGAGTTGACTCGCATCTCCAGTATGCAGATTCTGACAGACGGAACGAGTCCAGGAGGTAAGAAATGTAAAAATTCAAATGTGACAACAGAAACAGTTTGACAAATTTCCACCGATAGAAGAGCCATAGCTTATCGCCCTCCTTTAATCATAAAATATAGGAATTTCACTCCAAAATCTATTTTTGTCTGTAAATTATGCCTCTAAATTAACTCTGAAAGTGTGTTGTTTTTTTCCTGCACTAACACACCTTGTTCCCTCTGCTGCTTTGACTCTGGTGGCCGGCTCGTCCTCTGGGCTCAGACACTGACATTCACACTTACACCAGTCTGCTGGACAGTCACTGTATCTCTGAAGGTTGGCTCCCGTTCGCCCCACACAGCCTTCATCTGTCCACCGGCTGCTCCTCGTATTCACGCCACCCCTGCATATTTTTTTTTTCCTCCCTTTGCATGAAAACAAACCTCTGATACACCTATTTACTTTTTCGTTTCTCTGGCATTTTATTTTTTCCATTTGTTTTAGCCCTAAAAAAAATGCCTCCAAGACAGCTTATATATCAGATGGAAACACGTTCCAGTTTTTCTGTGGCTCTAAATCAACAACATTTATGTTTTTGTTTTAGGAAACGGTGGCATTTCCGTTTTGGGTACCTTACACTAACAGTTGAATAAAATACTTGAGTCCAATAGGTTTCAATAAGTAAAAATATTCACCAGAATACGATCTGGAGCACCTAACATGTAGCCGTCAGTTACAATATATCGAGTGAATTTAAGAGATTCAAAATATAAATGAGAAATACTCAGTTTATCCCAAAAGGAGATGACATAAAACACAAGTGTCCAACGCCAAGGTGAAACAGGTACAGAAGTATAAGGCGGATCAGTGAATTCTGAATTCTTCTTTTTATTCTTTTTTGGACAGGGAGTATTTTAATTTACAACTGCCTTGCATTTACTTTGCTTGCTGGTTTCATTTAGGAAGACACCACCTTTTAAAGGGTCCTTTTGCATTCTGCCAGCTCTTGTTTCTAGTCAGACAAACAAGGATTTCTATGAAGAATAAAGGAAAGTGTATTAATAACGACTTGTTAAACTGAAACTTTCATCCTGCCTGACAGCCTTGTATTTGTTTCACGCTGTACCTGGGGTTGTCTTTGTTTCCTATCCTCCTGCTTTTAATTTTCATTCCTCCACCATCTTTGTGTCCATTCTGGCTTTCCGTGTGCATTTCTGGTGGTCATGGGGAGGAACGTGCTGTTGATGTGGAGCAAGCTTTTTTTCCTTGTTAAAAATGCCCCTGTTCATAAATATCTTCACATTTTCAGATTCACTTTGTCAACGTTTGTAATGTTCCCCTCCACTTTACATTCATCATTTAGCCTTATTGAATGCTCCTTTTAAAGATTTTTTTCTAGACTTTACAAAGTGCGGGGAAAAGTTTTTAAATGCTTATTCAGATCTTTTGATTAAAAGAAAAGTTCATTTGAAAAAAGTCCAGACGTCCTGTCTGAAGCGAAGACTGCTTCGGCTTTGTGGAAATAACTCGGTGTGTGTGTGTGTGTGTGTGTGTGTGTGTGTGTGCATAGGGGGGACGTCTCGGGCCAGCGGCATGCTGATCCACTACAAACCGATGGGCTCTGAGGACGCCCAGCAGCTCCGCATGGAGGCCGTCGACGAGAAAAAGACGGCTTCGTTATGGCTGGTTGCAATGCACAAGGTACTCCGATGGGGCCACCGAATCTCACTGCAGATGTTTTTAACAACACACTGTGACATGTATAATTTAGCCAAAACACAGATAAGTCCTCTTATACTATATTCCAGAGATAAACGTTTGCTGTCTTGCCTTAAAAAAGATCTGCTATATCTGTTTTTCTCGTATATTTCTGAGTTACTGTTCGGCAACAAAGGCTTCCTACAGGGCAACTTTTTAGTCTTCAGAGTCTCTGAAGGTCAAGGATTTTTATGGGAACAAAGGCTGCCTTTTTACTCATTTTAACAGGATCCTTCAGGGAGTTGTGACTTTGAAATCTGTTTGAAATGGGGCTCTTTGCTTTTTATTGCAGAACAGCCTGGAACAAAGACACATACCAATTTATGGTTAACTATATTTATACAGCACACTTAAAAACAACAGAAGCACCGCAGGGCAGTGTATGAATGTGTAAACACTATGAATACGAGTAAAAAATTGATATAAATCGAAAAGACGAAAAATAATTCCCATTTTAATGTGATAATCCACTTGAGCGGAAACAATTACAGTTGACAGTTTGATGGCATACATTAAAGAATGTTATAGCTATTGTTGGATTTTCTTTTCTTGTCAAATAAGACTGACCATCAAATTGACCCATACAGAACAAGCAGCCTCTAAATGTTTTTTTTTTTATAATCACAAGTTAACTTTTCTTTAAAACTTTCCCACTCTGGCTAGATTGACTGTATTTCGAACATATGGAGCTTGATGGGTGTCCTGATTTGAAAGAGATACTTGAATGAATCTCTTTAACCTAAAAAACAACTTCAAACCAGTGTAAAATTGAAATGGTGAACTATGAAGGGAAAATAAGCATTATGTTGTTTAAGTTCACCTGCATGTCCAGTCATTTATTTGACTTTACAAACTAAGCATTAAGCTTTTTAAATAAAAAAAAAAAATCAAATATGAATAAATGACATAGCATTCATTTCTTTTTAAGGCGTCCCACCTCTAGTAATGGCATGACAAAGACAAAGACGAGGACGGTCGTAAAGGATTTGGTTGTTTTAAGAGTAGATTCCATCTTATGCTCTTTCTCATTCGTCCTGACAGGCAGCCAAACTGCTGTATGAAGCTCGAGACCAGTGACAGCCAGCAGCTTCCATGCAGCCTTCGTCAGCAGGGTTGGGTATCGATCGGATTTCATCAGCACAAATTCTCCTTTTTCTGTCTGACTCCTCATCCTTTCTTAATACCAATTCTCCTATCATTTTTTTTTGTTTTATTTGGAAGAAATGTTTCTACAAAAAACACCTGATTACCTCTGTAACCAGTACTTTGTACTTTACTGTTTACCACAAGTAGGTTGATTGTGTGTTTTCTTATTGAAGGCGGTTAAGTTCCTTTGGGGTTTTTTTTTAATCCAGGGAACATGGCGTTAATTCTTCGCACAGAAATATAACAGGAAAACCCGTTTTTTCAAAACGGGAAGGCTTTAACTTTAAATCCGCAGTTTGAAAGCAAAACTTTCAAGTTTGTTTTCGCACACACAAAAAGTCTGCGTTCAATCTAACATCGGAAAATGTGACATTACACTTTTACTTCACTTTTACTCTGTAAACATTGGCATTAGTGATTCATGAACGCTCAATGTCCTTATATGCTGCTCTTCGTTTTTAGTTTCTTTTTCTCTTTTATGTGTGTGCATGTGTATAAATGAAGAATTTAATTTCCTGCTAGAGGTGATGACAGTACCAAGTACAGACATGTGAAAAGGACCTTAATATCCAGAACTTCCTGGTTGAAAACTGTCACGAGCTGGTTAAAGGACCAATTCACCAAAGGCCATTTGAAAAGCAGCTATTTGTGATGGGGTTTTTTTCCTTTTAGGACCCAGTTTTGTTGGCAGCAAAATTTATGGGTAAACCCATAAATATATCCGATTGAAGGTTTGATAGCAGATTTACAGAAACTGCATTGTTCTGCCCACTTTTCCGGATCCTTCCAGAGCGGCTTGATCATTCAAACAGCTTTGTGTGGTTGGTGTAAATGGCGAGAACCAAAGAAAGATGCGAGCCTGGCTCCAAAACTATAGTTTGACACCAGATTCCACTTTATTCGGATTAAACTGGTCGAATTTCTGTCAAATATAGAGACAAATGATTGTCTTTTAACGTATTTTTTTATGCAGTCACCTGCAGGTGAAGGCTCAAAGGTGCAAAACAGTGACCAGAATGCAACGGCAGGTGGAGTTTGGAAAAAGGCAGAACGGCATCTTGGGAAATGTAGGATTCTGTAACAGAAGGGGTTAGCGGTTCCTGAAACGTAGAGCATCACAGATTTATACAAAAGTGACGTTTCGTGGTGGATTTAGTTGATTTTTCTTTAATCAACCAGCTGTCATAACAGTTGATTTTTCAGAGAACTTGCGAGGAAAGTTCTGGTAACATCTTCCGCTTTTTGTTTTTCTATGTTAATTTCTACGTGCTAAAAATCTTTAGGCCCCTGTGTCTAAGGAAGCTTACGACTATTCACTGATACTAGTGAAGTATGAACACATAAAGAAATGCTTTAATTGTAGTTTCACGTATTAAAGTTTTGTATGAGCTATTTTGTTAAATATTCCTACTTTAACACAAGGCATGTACGTTCTTACATAATTTTTAAACTCAAGTATGATGGAAGTTTTTGTAACACTTGTATACCGTTATTCCTTTCTCTCCCCCATAACATGGCCAAAACACACTTTGCTTTAATTTTTCACTTTTTAAAAAATATATCATTGTTCTAAACTGCGACCATGATGTGAGATCCTATCCCTCCCACCCACCCACTCCAAAATTAGTCTTCAGGATACTCTTTTAGCCGAGGCACTCGAGCTGACTTTTGTTACCTTAAAAGGGTTTCTGAACGTTTTGTGCTTCCTGTGTATTATTCAGGAATTCCCCGAAGGACAGATAACAAAAATGAATGCATGCATAAAACCATTTACGTTTATCAAAATTAGAGAAGACAGCAGTTTTTCAGAGATTTTTTCAGATTTGCTTCTTAATATTTATAGAAACCTTAACGTTGAAACTTAATAGTTCTTTATTTGACTTATGTTTTTTGAAATTGTGTTTCAAGAAAGTTTTAGATCTTTGTTTTGTCCCACAAAAATCTAAACAAATTGGTTTATGTAGCACAAGTACTGGTGTGAAATTTCTATTCAGTGGCTTCAAAACACCCTCATAATTGGCTATAGTTAAAGTGATTTACCCTTATGCATCATGTAGCCATTAACCTCTGATGTGATATCGAATGGTTAAGAGAAGATTAAACGAAAGCAAAGCACGTGTATTTGTCTCCGACAGCCTCGGACACTTATTATTACCGTCTGGCAACATTATGGAAAACACTTGTGAAAACCATTTCATCGCCATACTTTGAACACCCAAAACATTATTCTTTTTTTTAAATATAGAATTTTTTCGCCTTCTCCCAAAGGCAGTAGGTTCGCACTCACCTGTGCTTTAGAATTCCCCTTCCAACTCTCAGAGGAAGACTTTAAAAGAGACTTGCGTAGAATCCTCCCCATCATATTGTTAGACATTTTGCCCATCAAATATTGCAGGTATTTCAGCGGCTGTATTTTCTCAATATTGATTTGAAAGTAAAAGCAAAATCCATACATTTACCCAAATGCAAAATTCTGATTAAACCTTGTTAAAAGCAAATTGGTTCAATGCTGACTGTACAGCCCCTATATTGGATATTTGTTTGTATTGTTTATTTTATTATTATTTTTGTCTGTGGTACCAAGTGTAAAAGTTACCAAGTCATTACTTATTCACAGTGTTTGTACATGCACTTTATGGCCGCTCTTGACTACAAGTCCCCTATCCCCGACCTGTCCCCCTTTTCATTTATTTTGCTGAAAATGCTACACCGCACTCTTTTGTTGGATTTTCCTGTTCAGAAATAAATCAAATCTTTCTACATTGTTGCTGTTTTTTGTGTTATTTTATAAGTGAGTCAAAAGTTTTTTTTTTTTAAACCACACCAATGCCTGTTGAAATTTGGAGAATATTTCACATTCATCTGACTAGGAAGATGAAGCACACCCCTTCATCCACCTTTTAGTCGGCGACTGGTTTATTAGTTGGAATTTCTTTTCCATGGATGAGAAACTGAATACGTTCTTTAGTTAATCAGAACACTAGAAAAGGCATTTATTGCACTAGATGCGTACAATAAATTTAGAAAAAAATAAAAATATATTATATATAGATATTAGATAGATTAAAAAAATATATGTGTATATTTATCGTAATAATAAAATCAATGCTGTGAATAGCTTCTTTTTTTAAGACCATGCCCTTTTAAAGTGACAGGCGGAAGTCAAAAAGTACCATCACACAGTTTCTCTGTCAACCTCAAAACATCTTTAGTATACCATTTAAGTTTCCGTTTCCGTTTAGTATTCCGTTTAATTTATATCTCACAATTTTCTTTATTACTAACTCAAGTGGATAGGCATGCTAAAGTGGATGGGAATAAAAAAGCTAAACGCGTCACCCCCCCCTCTTTTCGAACAGTTGGTCTCGTCCGATTCTCCCTTGCATCAAACGCACGTGCCGGGTGTGATGTGTTTGAGATAACGGCTGTGCTACGGCGTTTACTCGAGCTGTCACACCGCCGTGGACCCCAAACACACCTTGGTAACAATGAAATAAACTCGGGAGTTAATGTAGAACCCCCCCCCCCTACTTTAAACCACAAGTTTGACTTGGAAAAAACACGAGGAGGCTGACACTCGACTCTGGCGTGACTGTACGTCATCGCTGCTAAATACACCTGGCTGAAGGTATGAACTTTGTATGTTTGTGTTAGCATGTGCTCCACACGACTACTCGGAGATACAAGCTAAGTCATTCCCGTTATCGATTTACCAGCTAGCAGCACCGGGTAGCTTCTGTCTCACATGTCAACAACAGCTCCATGTGAGTCTCCTACCGTTCAAACACCCGTTCGACCTCCTAAATCCGATTTAATCCGAAGTTACACGAAAGGCGGCGTTTTGTGAGTTTGGTCATCATCTTGGGTATCACGAAAAGGGAGTCAGTGTTGGAATAGCATGAGAAAAAACAGCTGTAGGCTGCAGTGCCACGTAGCTGGCTGGCTAATGGGAAAAGAGCTGCAGGGAAGTTGTGCACAGTCACTGTAGGAGGCTCAGTCTCAGTTGTCAGAGAGACAGGGCAGGAAAAAAAAGGTGGATAACCACCCTAGAACCGTGATAGAAAAACTGCCACAGCTGGGCTAATAGCTGACTTACTGGTACAAACGCATAAGGATGCAGCAGGGTGGATGGACCGTTCTATGACCCAGGACATTCATTCTTTTGGGAATTAGATCAGTTTACATTTTCTTTGTAGAAGCAGAAGTGTAACATCTCGTAAAAGGCACAATATGATCTCAACGATGTGTAAAATCTTTAGAAAAATCATTTACATTGACTCAATAAAGTCCATATGTTAACAGGAACTGTTTTTCACAATCTTAGGGGCTTTGAGGTTTGTTTTCAATGGCCATATCACCTCAAAATACTGAGCAATGAATTTTTCTTTCATTCCTCAGTATCTCAAACTATAGCTTTCCCTTTAGTCCCTTTGTTTGGATTATGTTTATCTAATATAATAGTTTTTTTCAATGATAGTATTTTGGAAGAAATTAAATTCTTTTTGCGTCTTGATTTCAAAAGCTGTTCTTCCCGTTTTCCAACCAGGAGTGGAGGCTTGTACAGAGGCACCATGAGCTCCAAGGTGTGCAAGAACTGCGGCAGCTCGGACATCGACGTGGACCAGGCCCGCGGCGATGCCGTGTGCATGGTGTGCGGCTCCGTGCTGGAGGACAACATCATCGTGTCCGAGGTGGAGTTTGTAGAGTCGGGAGGCGGAGGGTCGCTGGCTGTCGGACAGTTTGTGTCTTCAGAAGGTGAGACTAATGGGAATTCTCCCCTCTCTCTGTATCCATCTTGCCCCTCTTAAAGCTGCTACCCCCCAAAAAACTGTATGTTGCTATGTATTATGTCACATAAGAGTCTCTACCTTCAGAAAATAGATTGATGGATAAAAATGGGCATGGTCATTTTTAGCGGAAAGTCAAATAACAGAATCAAAAGTCTGTATGCACCCAGAAGATTTTTCCAAAACTTTAATCTGGAGACAATCTTTTTGCCTTTGCATCTTCTATAATCTTAACCCTTTGGCTTTCCTTCATACGTTTATAGAATTATTAAATAACTGTTTTGATTGATTGCCTTTTGTTAGACCTCCCCCTTTGATGTGAACTTTCCAATGGACAGTTTAGTAAATTTAGAGAGCACTAGGCTTTAGTGGAGCCAGATTGGTATAGAATCCGTAGGAGTGTCAGACCCGTTCTCTCAGGAAGAGTAAAGCTCTGTCCAAACTATTGAGGGATGCTTACAGCTGTGTTTGAAGGTTATTGTTAGAGCTGGGCACGTCAACGCAATGTCGTCGCATTAACGTAGCCGGTGCTTAACGCTGGCATTTTCTTTTAGCTTGTTTTAAATGTTTTGTTCACCGGCAGTGAATACACTTTCATACCTGGATCACAGACGGAATTGGATGATGATCACTATTGGCTCTCGATGGGCATCAGAGCATGTCTCAACCAATCAAAGGCTTGCTTTCAACAGAAAACGAGGACATGATGTAGAAAAGCACTGGACTCCTCCAGGGACATTTGGATTGCAAAACTCTTTTTGATGGCGGGCTGGATAAAAACAAAGCTCTCACAAGCATTAGAACACTGAATTTCCTCATCACTGTAGTACTTCCAGTCTGAAATATCATTTGAATTCAAAACATGCTTTATTGCCCCTGCAGTGATAAATAACTTTGGGTTTGTATTTGATTTGAAAAGATGGGATATGAAACACGAAAAGATTACTGCAGTAAAAAGTACCTTATTTATTATAATATTTGCATAAAATTAGTAAATATTTGCTTTTTAAATAAAAAAGGTACCTTAAAATGTGATGTACACTTTTATCTCAGTAATTATGTGTGTAACAGTGCGATTAATTGTGATTAATCGCCACTAAAATGAGTAATTATTGACCAGCACAGGTTGTTGTGCATTATCAAGTTTTTAGCAGAACAAAAAAAAGGAAAAAAAGAGCGAACAGGCTTTCAGGTTTCATTCATTTTTGGCATGTTTGACCATAACCCTTTACCTACAAAGGTTTAAAGGGAAACTGCTGGATTGGTGGAAGCAACAGATGCTAAAACTAATGTATCCTACATACACCAGTTAAGAAGAAATGTCTTCCACATCCTGTGGCACTATCAGTTAGCCTCCCCTTTGTTGAGCTGACAGCTAGGGATGCCACTAAATAGAGCCTGTGCTAAGTTGTCAGTGTTCTTAATCATATCAAAGAAGAATTCAAAGGACCCCTATCACTGGTTGCGCATGAATTCCGATCAGGCATCTGGTTTGGGGGAAAGGCTTTTGCATACAGCCGTTCACCCCTTAGTAGGGCTGGGCAAATTAAACCACAGGTTACCTATCCATATTTTTTCGGTATCTGTTTTTTTAATATTAAGGAATAACTAAAATAATTCAGTCAAATTATCAATGTAAATTTGAAAGAAAATGACACAAATCAAACTAAATGGAGAAAATTAAATATAAAATCCTCTTTGAATAAAGGTAAATGTACATTTTAACTTAATAAATACAGAGATGTGCTGTTGATGCAATACAATCAGATTTTCTAGAGAGATCATGTCCTTAGCAATTCGTATTGGCAATATTTCCCCACTTGTCGCTTTTTTCCTTGGTAAAGGACAGCACGTGAAAATGAGTTTTGTGCTGGCTTAATACTGACCGTTCTGGTGCTGCTGTCGATGTTTGAAAAAATTAGTTATGCTCGAACCTTTGCTTGAAGCCCGTTTTTAGCATTCCCTTCAAAGCACAATGCTTACCTGTTCATCTTAAGCTTTGAATCTGAAGCAACTCCAAACAACAGAACTGTCATTTTTTTCCCCTTTCCATCTAAAGTTTGATCTTGTTTGACTAATAAAGGAAAATCTCATCTCTCCTTTTTGATACCTTGCATGTGTGGGTCTATATTTTGGAAACCATTTCAGGGGCAAGACATAAAAGAAGGTATGGTTGCCAAAGAAGAGGGGAGATGGATGAAACTTAGACATTTTTAACTGTAACATAACACTAACAATATCACACAGTCCTTTTTAAAATCATATGGATGTTATTTATAACACCCCAAATGTCCCAGCCCTTCCTGTCAGTGTCACAAACATTTTGAAAAGAATAAAACAACCCAGAAAACTAATCTGGGAGGAGGGCGTGCTTGACAGTAAACGCTTTTGTGTTGTCAGGAGCAGGCTTTGGTGAAAAAAGGAGGTAATAATTTGATGTTAAGTCACATTCTTAACTTTTAGAATGACTCCCGTTTGGGTCCTTTACCATAAAGCTGAGGCCATGGTTCTCAACCAGAAAAAGGATTTTGGATAAGGCCTGGTGACACCTTAGAATCCCCCAGGGGAACTGGGGAGGGGGATGTCAGGGTTCTGAACTTGTTACCTGTGCAAGAAAATATGTGGATGGTCCATAAAGCTCTGATTGGCTGAGTGTGTGTCCCTGTGATCGTACATGGATCCTTGTCATCGTGCCTTATACGAGGTGTCTGAAAAGTAACAGGCCCAGGGGTGCTGTGAGAGCTATGGGCTGAAGAAGGGTTAGCAAATTGTGTTTTCATCACACACGATATACGGGGGGTGTGTAACCGCAATCTGTGGCGTCTGCTTCGCTCGGTGCGCAAGAAAAGAAGAGTCGCCATTGAGGGAACCTGCTTAGAAAACGTGGAGGCTGTAAAATGGAACCGGGGGGGCATTATTCAGTAACACAAATCGTTTGTGACACAGGTCCCATTACTTTTCAGACAGACCTTATTTGACCCAGTGTGTTCCAGGTCTGGGGAATCTGGTATATCAGGCTACTGGTAAATCTTGACAGCTGGAAGAAACAGCCCAAAATAAGGGGCTTAGAGCTCTGTGGTGTCGTAACAAAGGGACTATAATTTTTTTGTAAAAATGAGATATTTTTACAGGAGAAAAACACAGGATTGTGTGTATACTGACGAGAAATGTAAATGTTTGAAGTTGGACTTTGAATAGAGTGATTTACAGGCTGCTACTTGCAGTATTTCACTATAAACTAATCATTCCAATGGATACCCGGTGGTTAAAGATTGCCCCCAGTTTCACGCATCCTGTTAGCAAAATCAGCAGTCAGCATTGTATCGGCTCTTTAGGCTTTATATGAAGAAACTCTATTGGTTGTTTTGTATACCTGACATGCTCAATTTATGCTGAAGTCACATCTGGTTAAACTGTTGGGCATCTTGTCTGAGCTCATATGTATCTGTCCACCTTTTGTTATCTGGTCTTATTATGTTAGGCTTATGTGACCTTCAGCCTTTTAGGATGTTCTACTTCATCTCTTACAATAGTTTTCATGAATGTAGTTCACCCATCTGTCCACTGGGTGGTGATATTGTACCACAATGAGATTGAACAAGTAAATAGCTTGTTTTTGTTTTTGGATGGTTTTTAAGTTTATTTTTCTTTTTGAAAAATTAAGGATTTGCTTGATATTTCTCTTATTAGAGAGCCTTTAAAAAACAAATCTAACTCTGAAATTTCTCTGTCGCTCAGGTGGTCCCAAAAACCCGTCTTTCGGGGATGGACACTTCTCAGGAATGGGGTCCGAGTCCCGAGCCCAGACACTGCAGAGAGGTGAGTAACCAGTAGAGGAAGCCAAAAGTCTGCCTTAACCACTTTTTAAGAATGTGAAAAGAAACGAGGTGCAAAGTAACGGCTAAAAAAAAACGCTTTACCTGATCTGAAAGCAACTGTATAGCCAAATTTCGATATTTTTCACTTCAGCCATATAGCAAAAAGTCTTCATAATTTCAGAGTTTTAATCTTTCCACCCTGTTTGTTCTCCTCTGCTAAGGTGAAGACCTAAAGGTGGCTTAAAGTGTTATTTTAAAGAGGTCTTGTAGTGTTTGCACCACTTCTTTAAGTCAGTTGCTCAACTGAGAACGTTCCATTTCCATGTACCAGATGGACATCAACGCAGGTTCGGGCCGGCGCTGATGGGGTTTTTCAGCGGTTACAGAGCTGCCCGTGTCCGTCTGATGTAAATGGTTATTCTTCCTGTACGTCTTCATTAGAAATCTCTGTCGTCTGTGTCTACCCCCTCCCCCTGAACTGGTTAGAATTGAAATAGTTGTTGAAAAAGAGAGCAGAGTGACCCCCAAAGTGTTAGAGCAGCGTCACACTGAGTTGGAACTGAACACCCGCTCTGTCCCCACAAGCTGAAACTTTTGAAAACTGAAAGTGTCGATGGTTCATTCCAGCCTGCTTTCATTCAGGGCAAAATGTAGTCTTTTAAAAAAAAACAACTAACAAAACAAGCCAGCTCATGCTCCATCCTCCAGAGTCGGCTCTAACTTTGCTTTGGCCGATCACATCACAGAATACTTGGGATCAGCAGAGGACTCCTCTGCAGCTCCCTCTTAACAGCTCCAGGCTGGCTGGCAGCTGCCCTGGGAGCAGCTGGTTACCACGGCGACGACCGTCTGCTCTGCTTATGATGTTTCATACGGCTGAGCCGCCGAGTCACAGAGCTGTCAGACGGCATAGACGCTGAGTAACCATGGTGTGTGTGTGTGTGTGTGTTGGTGTGTGGATGCAGAGGATTAGTTTAGTCACAGCATGTGTGTGTGTGAAAGCAGATAGGAACTCGGTGAGATGAGAACAGTGGCCACACAATAAGTTTGAAATGTGTTGTATAATAGATTTTGAGGCTCTTGCTTTTAAATGAACCTCATGACATCCCGAGAGGAAAAAAACAACTAAGCAATTCAAATAAAGACCTTAAACTGAAGTGTCAGTATTGGCATAAATAGCAGAGTGTGGGGTGTGTGAAACATGCACTGCTGAGAAGCTGGCAGAGGACAAGTCGGTTACCCCGTAACCTGACCGGTGGTTAGCGTGAGGCCAGCATCGTCTTGGGACTGCTGGTGTGGATGGACATTAGCAATTTACAGTTAGCAGCCCAGCTACTGTGTTTTCAGTCCCATTTCAAGTGGCTTATCTGAGCTCTACTGCAAGCATCACCACAGTCCAGTTTCAAATTGAAGATATTCACCAATATGGTGACCCCCTGTGTTGTTTTGAAGAACTTTTGGCTATCGAACGTGAGCCAGAAACGGGGGTTTGTTTAGTTCAAATGATATTCTCTGCCCTCATAGTGCAACAGTAATGTTTGTGGAGGAGAGGACAAGTTAAGCCGACCATTACTGACAGCTCCATACCTCAGAGGTACAAAACCTGTGAGCCTTATTAATTTGTTTTATGTTTTGCCTTAACCAGTGTGGTGTTTTTTTTTTTTTTTGTGCTAAAATTATGAATCAGCTACCAATGTAGCTTCATATCTACCAAACAGATATGAATCATGGTGATATTTTCAAGTTGCAAATTAACACAGTGAGGCAGCAGGGAAAAGAATGGTTGAGATCATGTTTTGGTGTTGTCACTGGCATTGATTATTCCTGTCTCTCTCGACATATCGGTCACATTTGTGTGTAAATGCCACACGCCTTCAGGATTGTTCATGTAAATGCCATGAGCTGTTCATTACTCTCGGGGTTCTGATGAAAGAGTTGGCTACTTTCAGGTTTTCGCTGAAGTGTTGAGTCAAGGCGAGTAAATTACTTTAACCTGTGAAGAAGAGTCCTAATACCATTGGCCGAGTCTACCCGACTTCAGCAACTAGATGTGAGTTCTCTGAACCAAGCAACAGGATCAAAACCTTTTCTCATTCTACTGTACTGTACTTTTTTGTTTTTTTTGCTTGAATTGCTCTAAGTTTGGTTTTTAAACTTCTTAGGTTCTAGTTGGTATATTTTATAGCTTTGGAGTTGATGGGGGCATCCCTAAGATGCTCAGCCAGGAGAAAGATTGTCAAATTTAAAGCTCAAATGGACAACTTTGCCTCACCTCAAACACTTTAAAGGTGCTTTGTAGAATAAATGTTGCCCAAGGAATCAAACTTTTTTGAGCCAAATACATCAGCGTTTTCCCTCTACACTTATGATGTTTTTTTGTTTTTTTTCCTGAGCGTCGTATCCAGGCGACGCCTTGACAGAGCATACTCGCTTTTACCCCCTGCTGGGCAGTCATCCAGCCCACCTCCTAGGCAACAGCTTTCCACTTCTAGCTGAAAATGAATGAAACATAAACATGTGTATCACTTGTAACCATTATTAGTGGTTTAGCCTCCACTATATGAGCTACCAAATCTCCCTTTGCACTAAAAGCAAGGTTAGCCAGCATTGACGTGTTACCAGCTAAATGATGGCATACCATTTTATATAAAAGAATCGTTCAAAACTCTCAAACACACTGTAAGTTGGAGATTAAGTGGAGGGTGCTATTTTAAGCTGGTGGGGTTGCTGACAGGCTTTTAAAAAGAGAAGGAGTGCTATATCTGATGTGAGGTGGTAGTAAGTTCCAGAGCAGCTGAAAACCCTGACGACGAGGGGGGGAGGGGGGGGGGGGGGGGAAGAAGAAAGGAAAAGGAGGGAAGGGGGGGGGGGGGGGGGGGGGGGGGCGGCAGCAGCAAGGAAAAGGATATAATGGAATGAGAGAGTGGTGATCAAGAGCAAATAAGACAGATGTGGATGGGAGTGGTGGTGGATGGCCTCGAACGACCACTGTATATGTTTGACGTTGATGCAAAGTTTAATTTGGAGCAAGTGAAGCTTAGTTGTTGTGGTGGACGGAGGTCTGCTCGATTTTATGGAGGAAAAAATGCATAGTCACGATTATTTTGGCAGCAGTATTGAAATCATGGTTATTTAACACAATCACTCACTGACTTCAGATATATTGTATTTATTTTAGTTAAACAGTGAACAGTAAATTTAGCTTAAGAACCTCCAGTTGAAGGTGTCACTTAATAATAGCTAAACAATTGACAGGAAAATGAAGACAGCCGCATTATTGATGCTGGATTGGAAATGGGATGTTTGACGACACAGACTCTTAACCTGGGGGGGGACAGTCAACGATACATATTGAACATTTTTCACTTTTGATAGCGTTCATGCCAGAAAACCCTTAGCTCGTCAGTGTTATGTCAGGCTATATTTAAGGGACCGTGGGAGGGTCTCCACTATATTTATGGAAGATATTACAGAGGAGCAAGGAGGTAAAAAATAAAAATAAGGGGCCCCAGGATGGATCCCTGGGGTGCATTGGCTGATTCGAGGGATGTGCGACAACTGAAGCACTTGAGCTGGATTCACTGAGTGAGGCCAGAAAGGCAAGATTTAGACCAGCCTATTGAGGTGTTAGACAAAGTGGAATTAATTTATTTAAAAGAATGGTGGGATAAACAGTGTCCACTCTCAGATTGAGGATAAGGACGGTGAGTAAATCAGGCAAGTGCAATAAGGAGGTCTTTGGGGATTTTTATAAAGTCAGTGCTGTTCATACAAGTTGTTGCTTAAATGAATGTGGATTTGTGATTCTATTGTGGCAGAAAGGGATAAGGGGTCGGTTAAAGTCTATCCGACAGAGGACTTTGACTTACAGATGAGATTTGAAATGTCAGATGTTGAAGGAGACTAAAAGACAGAGAACTGGTGTGATAGCAGAGGTTTCATGGGACATACTGCAGAGGACGTCAGGAGCCAGGTCTGACTGACTTATTTTTCCCCCATTTTCTTTCTGTGGAGAATGACATTTAACAGTTAAAAAAAAAAAGAGATGAACAGAGATGGGATGGCAGTGTCCAGGGGCTTAAGGAGAGACTGGAACGGGGATTTTGTGTTGCCCTCATTAGACCAGATTCTATCAGGGACATAAATGGATTTTTTACCCTGTATACTGCAACGGTTAGCTTCAAGAAATCAGTGAAACGGTGACCTTTTATTTATTTTATTATAGCTGTATGTATTCTGAGGCTTTGTAAACCCTCCCCACACCTGGTTGGTTGCCTTCCATCCATCAACCAATAGTATGCAGTGTACAATTGCCCTTTGGCAAATTAGCTGAAGCAAAAGTGGCCATAGAAACATTGTCCATACATGTGAGTCTTTGTTTACTCGTCTGCTGTATGCTTAGTATTTTATTTTTATTGAATATTTTTTCAATGGTTATACATTTTTCAGGCTATAAAAGTGTATTTTACCTCAGAAATGTTAAATAATACAAAAAAATGCCTATATATCAGACTCTCATGGTGTAGGAAAACATGAATATCGCACATTTCTTTGTGAACTGTGAGACCAGTTTGTATATAGATGTTCGGGTTGTCAACTGTCCGAGGCCAAGGGTTAGAGGTGGAAGGTTATTGGTTTCATGGAAGTGAGATGTGATACCGTGCCTGCCTTTCACTCAGCAGCAGCAAACTTTTTTGAGAGAACAACCCACAAAAAGGGTCTTTGATAATATTTCAAGCAAGATGAATTAAATGATTCCAGTAGGGGCCTCGGGAACCATTTGAAGTGCTTAAATTGCCACTGAAATAGCTGAGGATGGACGCTCCAGATGTGCTCCAGGCACACAGTAGCGTCTGACACTCTGACGACACGCTGTTTATCGACACCCTAATAGCGCGATGGGACACGATGAGCTCAGCCCCTCACATTCCCAGACATCACAGTCAGACACATCTGGTTGCGTGTCTCAAAACGCTCGATCACGAACATGTTTAGCGGATCATGAACTCTGGCCATGAACTCGTTGCGCACGCACAAAAACACACACAACGCAGCTCTGTGGCAGTAATTAAAAGGATTACCCCCTCCCCCGCAACCCCCCATAATTCCAGTCTCCACCTGCTGCCCCACCTGATCTGTGTTTGCAGACGGGAAACCCGTTGCTATTTGCTTTTGCCCCAAACCGTGTTGTTTTGCCGGTTTGTGTTGACCCACGTCTGCCTGTAATGAAACCCTTCTGCCCTTTTGCTGGCGTGTAATCACATTACCACTTAACTGGTGCATTTTAAAGTTGCCTGAGTTATGTTTGTGTCTTATGTTCTTCTGTCTCCAAGTGGTGCGACGTGAGGTCTAGTAAATGTGAAGAATAATGAGGCAGATTTACTCACTTAGCTGTTATCCTTCTCACCTCTGCTGTTTGCTCAGGCTTGTATAAATCAAGCAGAAATTAATTCTGATTCAGCGTCAGCGCCTGTGGGTTAAAAAAAGAAACAACTTTTCCAGCTTTCGCCCTGTGTGGCCCCGTATGTTTATACAATTAACACGACTTAGTAACACCACTCATCCGTACTGTGGTGATGTCACGACAATAGCAAGGTTTTTTTTGGGGCTCCATGGAGGTTTTACAAACTTCAACCCTCCCCTCGGATTCAAAAACTGGATCGAGGCAAAGAGGGGAAAACTGTTCTGTTTTTAAAAAGCTGAAATCTGAAACTCATTTTCAAAATGATGGAAACCAGACTAAAGTGATTATTTACGTTTTCTGTAATGGTTAATAAATAATCATGCAGAAGCTCTTTAGCCCAAATTATATTTTCAACAAACCCTTTTTAAATATACTGATTAAGGAAAATAAATAGAGAACA